AATAATGGACCACACTAGCCATAAGGCATAAGAGCAACAAAATATTTTGTTGGTTGGGTCTTATTCAAAAATATTGTCTCTTTGGTTTGTTGCCCCAAGTTTCCCTTTCTCCCATTAACCATCTCTACTTCAATTTCATCCACTTGTTTGTGCAAATTCATGCTATATTGAAATCATTATGCATATCTTTACCTTTCATGATTTAATTTGAATAGAAACACCACTTTGTTGAAGAGATATCAAGTACCTAAACATGGTGAATCAAAGTAGGAGCGTTGATTCAGTAACTCGACCAACTTATATTACGTCACTCAAGTCGAGTTGGGTTCGATTTTTTTCCATTGGGGTTGGGTTAAATTTTTGGAAAACAGAAAATTTGATTTAGCTTGCAAGTTCATTTTTTTGGTCGGATCAACTCAACAAACTTGAAAATAGGGTTACAATCCAACCTCATCCTACTTTTAAAAAGATTAAGAATATTTGACGTTTGTAATCATGTTAGTGATGCGTTGTGATAAATTTTTGAGATTTTAGTTATTAATATAACATGTAATGTGGATAAATATGAATTTTTTAAATAATTAAAACCGAACAGTCTAACACAAAAACATCTGAAAATAGAGGTTGGTTTGGATTGAGTTGCTAACTCTATTAGGGCTCCTGGTGTCACCAATCCAACCAATCTAAAATTTCAAGTTGGTCCAAAAGATTTTTCCTACTCAACCCAATTTGGTCGGTGCATACCCCTAAATAATAGAAAATGACTTTATTAATGATTTCATTGATCTTTCAGTGTAGTAAAGGTCAGAAAAACTCGAAACCTAAAACCCTAAAATCATAAACGTTACATAAATGCACGATGGCCCAACCTTTACTTATCATCTTTTCTGATTTTGAGAGAGTTAGGCCATATGCTTTTTCAAGAGACTAGGTCAAAGAAAAAATAAGGTAATCCAATGCACACAACTTGCAATATAACATCAAGATGGGCAAGTAAACTTTTGTGAGAATGTTTTTGGTTCAAACATAAATGAGTGTTGGAGTCCTTCTGATCAGCTGAATGTCTCTTTTAATGCAACTTGGAGTTATTAATTGAATTGGGCAACTTGTAAAAGTTGTCCCAAGTGTGTTCTTATTGCCCAACCATTCAAAACATAAGTAAATGGCCTCCTCCAATTCCCCCACACCATAGTTATTGCTAAGTTTTCGTCTCGTTTTCAATTAAACGAGCTTATAAACACTATTTCCATCCATAAGTTTTTTAAGTCTCTAATGGATTTTTTTCTAAAAATATGTTTAAAGTTCGCTAGCAGATATTGTTCGCTTCGGCCTGTCACGTATTGTCATCACTCTCACGGTTTTAAAACGTTTCTACTAGGGAAATGTTTCCACACCCTTATAAAGAACGTTTCATTCTCCTCTTCAACCGATGTGAGATCTCACAATCCACCCCCTTTAGGACCCATCATCTAGCAATCGTTCCTCTCTTCAATCGATTTATGATCTCACAATCCACCCACTTCGAGGCTCACTGCCCTTGCTGGCACAACTGCTCGGTGCCTAACTCTGATATCATTTGTAACAGCCCAAGCCCACCACTAACACATATTGTCCACTTCGGCCCGTTACATATCGCTATCATCCTCACAGTTTTAAAACACGTATGCTAGGGAGATGTTTCCACACCCTTATACAGAATGTCTCTTTCTCCTCACCAACCAATGTGGGGATCTCACAATCCACCCCTTTCAAAGCCCATCGTCTAGCACTCGTTCCCCTCTCCAATCGATGTAAGATCTCATAGTCCACCCCCATTCAAGGCTCACCGTCCTTGCTGGCACACCGCTCGGTGCCCAACTCTGAGATCATTTGTAATAGTCCAAGTCCACCACTAACAGATATTGTCCACTTCGGCCTGTTACGTATCGTCATCAACCTTACAGTTTTAAAACGCATCTACTAAGGAGAGGTTTCCACACCCTCATAAAAAATGTTTCGTTCTCCTCTCCAACCGACGTAAGATCTCACACATATAGAGCCTAAAATCTCGTTAAGATGATGAACGGAAGTGAAAGGTAGCAGAGGAAAGAGAGGGAGAGAGGGTCCAACATGGTTGTTTTGTGTTGATAGTGACTACAAAGATGGTGATTGAAGGAATCATATAGAGAAAGGGTTGGCCCCATATGTCTCTACTTGCAATAGAAGGTCATGTGTGTGAGCTACACAAAATTTAGAGAAAAATAGAGAGTTTTGAGGAGAAGATTTAGATTAGGGTTTGTGGGGTTTGAAGAGTGGGCCATTTTAGGTGATAATGGAAGTAGCCTTCATCCTCTCTGGACATGCACCCACCTAAATTCAAGTATATCTTCTTTTGTGTCATCACTCAACCTAATTTCATTGCTTCATCCTTCAAATTTTATGCCTACTAACTCAAATTTGCAACTAAAGGAATTGATTTGGAGAAATAACTATAGACGAGTTGTTATTAAAAGCAATCGAGGACATGCAGAGGTGAAAGTTTCGACTTCTGATCGTTAATATTGATTAAAATTATAATGTCTAGGGTCGCAACTAATAAGAGTTTTGATTAGGAGTGTACACCGATTGGGTTGGGTTGGATTTAGATCATCCAAATTTTCGAGTTGATTTGTTTTGTGACCCGAGCCACCTGAATAGAGTTCGCAACCCAACCCAGCACTCTATTTTTTAGTTGGGTTTTAGGTTTTTTTAATTATTTTTTTAAAAAAATTAATGATCTAGAATACAGGTTACACTAATAACTAAAATTTCATAAAATTCAAATATCAAACATTTACAAGTAACCGTAACAATCATCAAATATTCTTAAATTTCGTAATAATCGTAAAATACAGTAGGGTTGGGTTAGGTTATAACCCTATTTTGAAAAATCGAAAATTCGAGTCTATTTGCGAGTTGACCAACAAAAAAAAAATGTCAACTCTTGAACCCGTTAGAATTTTAAATTTTCAAAAAATTTAACTCAATCCAAACCAAAATCTAACCAACCCATTCTAGATGGGTTAAGATTTAATATAAAAATATTAATTTTTAAAAATTAATAAGCAATAATGATGCTTTAATTAAGAAACAAAAAGACCAAAAAGTACATTGCCATTAAAGAACAATATAGAGACAAAAAGAGGTAATTTTCGAAACGCCCTTTTCTAATTTTAGAACGCTCCCCATTTGATACCCGTAATACACGTCATAACTCCGTAATTATCTCACGCGCTCGTTCTCACGTGAACATTATGTAGCCAATGTGAAGAGGACGTGGTTACACGCGCTAGGAGTTTGTCTGGATCACATTATCTAGGAGTTAGGGTTTTTGTTGTAGTTGGTGTTCTTCAACCATAATATCCTTAGACTAAGAAATTTGCAAAGCGATAATTTGAAGATAATTTCTATAATAATGTCCATCACATCCATGAGAACAATTAGACATTGCTTGGTGTAACATGTAGGGTTGGCTCGGTCCGAGATGGGTCAGTAATTCGTTACCCATCTTTAATATTATCGGTATTGTAGAACATCAACTTTATTTCTAGTCCAACGAATATCGTTTAAGTTTGACAAGCTTCGTTTTAGTTCTGTGAGCGTGACACTAGTCTGGTGAGTGTTGTTCCAGTTTGGAAAGTATCCTTCCTGTCTTTAGTGTTTGTTTTCTATCGTTTTGAAGATGCAAGTTCGATCTAGTAGTTGATATGTGGTATTTGTTGCTCATTTAAAAATGACCCATGAAATTTCGACCCATCTTAAAACACTCATTAGATATGAAGCACAAAGTTGCAAAGTTTGGGTGTTTCAATTATTTTTTAAAACTTGAACTCAACTTTCTAGTTCGGGTAAATTAGATGTATAATACTTCTATATACACGACCCACACGTGTGAGTATGGGCTCACTAGACTAGCTCATCTAGGCTATAGCCGAACACTCAGAGGGAACAACGACCGTCGTTGCACCATACTTAGCATGATGGTCATTTTAGTCTCACAATTTACGCGTTCGTACATCATCATAAAGAGGAAGTATCTTTATGCATGTCAACATACAATTATGCATGAGGTCTCCATGTTTTTCATCGTAATAAATCACGCAAAACAACTCTCATTCATTTATTACATATTACACTTGACAATGTGCATAGATAAAATTTCATAAATCATTTCATTCAGAATCCGGCATGGTTGTGATTCCTAGCTTTTCCTTATTTCAAAACATTTCAGAGCATGTTATAACAAATCATGGTCTAACATAACGTATCAAAGTGCATCAAGGCATCTCATACATTACGTAGCTTATCGTAACATAACATAACATTTCATTCCTACCACCATATCATTTGACATATCATAATGACACATTCATAACATCACATCACAAGACATAACACACATATGACTCCAACCGGATCAATAGTAGAGCCACTTACCTAGTTGACATAAGCCGAAGTTACTAATTATTCTTTGTACCGGCCCGAATTTGCTCTCAATTTCCAATTCAACCTTAGACTCATCATCTCAATGATATCGATTCAAACAAAATAACTGCAAAGATCAATCACCTTCTAGTCCAATTATTGAGGGTAAAAAATATCTCGGATATATACTCTTTTTTTTTTTTTCTTTTCTTTCTCAAATCAATATATTGTCTAGTATTTAAAAATTTTGAAATTAAAAATCATGCAGAGTTGATTTCTATAATTAATACTAATAAAATTTTAAAGAATTAGACAAATATTTTAATTAAATTAGAAAACAATTTTATCAAAATTTCTGTTAATATTGAGGGACAACAAAAAAAAACAGGTTGTTCCTATATTTTTGGGATTTCATAATTTGGAGGAACCCCGTTGGAGGTTGGGAGCTGCAGGTGTTTGAGACTCCGTTCTATCTCTGTTTTGGTATACTCCGGACATGCTCACGTGGCAGTCATGTCAGTCTGCCCCACCCCCACGGCCTATGGTTATGGCTTCATTCCACACCTCTCTGCCCCATTCCCCTTTCTCTCCCTCTCTCTCTTCTGCCTTTCTCTCTCTCTCTCTACACCAATAATTCCGGCCAGTTGCAGTCACTCTCCGACCACCCCCCAACTTTTTCACCTTTATATACTTCCCACCCCCCTTTTCTCTCTCGATTAATCTTCAAACCCATTTTCCCCCTCCTTGTTGAGACCTTCTTTTGGTTCTTGGTGGTGGGATTTCCTTCAAATTTGGGGGTTTCTCTGTTTTTTTAAGGTGGGGTTTTGGAACAAAGAAAGATGAACAGAGCATTGCCAGAAATGTCGAACACGGCTGAGAATTGTGTTGACACTCTCACTGTTCTTGAGAGGCAGAGGGCTCGTTTCAAATGGCAACAAGATCAGCTTTTGTATCAGCAGCAGCAGCTGCAGTCATTCAATGGGATGATGGATTACGGCGCTGGATTTCCACCGTCGGATCACCTCACCGGGTTTCCGGGCTTCATGAGTGCAGCCGGCGCCGGCGGCGATGGTGGGTTGTCACTTGTGGAGATGGTAATGGGAGCAGTGAAGCCTGACCCTGGTTTGGAAGATGGGTGGTCTGATCCTTCTCTGTTGTTGAATCCCCCCACTGCTTATGAACTAAATTCTTCTCTTTCTAGAACCTCCAGCTGCCCGCCGGCGGTGAATCCAGCGGCGGCGGCTGGAAGAGAAAGCTTCAAGAAAAGGAAAGCTGAGAAAGTTCAGAACCCCATTAACAACAAAGAGAAGAGGATCAAAGCAAGTTCAGAAGAAGAAAAAGAAGAAGAAGAAGAAGAAGAATTATCAAAAACGACAGATCAAAACAGCACCAAGAACAACAATTCAACCATTACAACCACAACAAACAACAACAGAGAAACTTCAGCTGATACCTCCAAAGCCTCAGAGGTTAAAAAGCCTGATTACATTCATGTCAGAGCTCGCCGTGGCCAAGCCACTGATAGCCATAGCTTAGCAGAAAGAGTAAGCCAAGAAAACACTCTATTTCCGCTTCTGGGTTGCTTATTCTTTCTTTGATTTCTTTCATTTTGACCCATTTGGGGGGAGTTTCCTTTAACCAATCATGTTTTTTTTTTTTTTTTTTTGTGTTCATGCAGGCTAGAAGGGAAAAAATCAGTGAAAGAATGAAGTACTTGCAAGATTTAGTACCAGGATGCAACAAAATCACTGGAAAAGCTGGAATGCTCGACGAGATCATAAACTATGTTCAATCTCTTCAAAGACAAGTGGAGGTAAAAATCAAGTTTTCTCAATCTCTACACACAAAAATCCTACGTTCCATTGAAAAAAATCGTTCTGAAATCGAAAATTTTCTTTGTGGCATTTTCACAAACAGTTCTTGTCCATGAAGTTAGCTGCAGTTAATCCAAGGCTGGACTTCAATGTGGATGATCTCTTCCTCAAAGAGGTAACAGAATTAAATGATTCCCAAACTCCAAACTCATTTAATCAGATTAAAATCGACGGCGGAATCTAAAATTTTCCCGGGAAACAAACAAACAAACAGGTATTTCCCCCTCCTTGCACCACCGCAAACTTCGCGGCGATCGGTGGAATTTCATCAGAGATCACAGATCCTTCATCCTACTTCCAATTTAATCGAAACAATCAACAAATCGTTCCGTGTTGTGGATTAGAAATGGGAATTAATACCTCCGATGTCGCTCTTCGAAGAACAATCAGCGCCCCTGTTTCTTTCCCGGAAAATTTCCTCGATTCATCCTGCCTCACCGTAAGTCCTTCCTTTGATTTCAATTTTCCGCCGTTTTCGATTCGTTTCCGATCGTTTGGAGTTTGTAATTCATGAAATGAATGAATCGATGCAGCAATTTCAAGGCTCTTCAGGGTGGGACGTGGATTTGCAGAATCTGTACAATGTGGGTTTCGATCAAGGAAGATCATCAAACGCCTTTTCATCTCAACCTTACACAGGTAAAGATGAGATTGAAACTGTGCAGTCAATTCTTCTTCCGCTTGTTCTTGCAATTATGACTGGAGAAAGAAAATTCAGAGAAATTAAGAAAGTGGATATTTAAAAATTGATAGATTGAGACATTTCCATGGTCCCTCCATCAAATTTTCATTTTTTTTTCTGAAATTTTTATGAGCCCATTGGATATTCCCAATGCTTTGAGAAAAAGAAAAGAATTTATATAGATTCCCACCAATTTTGCACTATTCTTTCTAATGGGTTTGTCCACCACTTTCAATTGTGCACCACTTTGATCCACGAGTTTTAAGATCGTTATTCAATATCAACCTATGTTTGTTTGGAATAAATGATATCGTTATCTCGATGATGTGCTTATAATAATAAATCAAATTGATTAGCTTGTGAACAACAATTTAACTTTGATGTTTACTCAACTAATTAAATCGGGTCAATGAAGATTGTTTACAAGTCGATTTGTTGGATATGATGTTTGTTTTAAGATCGAATCTTGGGTATGGTTGATGAAATGTTTTTTGATGCGCAATCAATTACATATCTAAAATTTTAATGTTTTTTGTTTTTGTTTTGTAGGTTCCATGGAAGGAAGCAACTTAAAAATGGAAATGTGAAGTAGTTAGCTACGAGATTCAATCAAAATATTACTCTCATTGACTTCGTATCTCTATATATATATATATATATTTTTTTTTTATCACAGTATATAACTAGAAAATATTTATATATATTTTGTATGTATATGTTCGACTCAATTTGAATAAGAGTAATGATAATTAATCACAATATTTAAAGATTTTTAAAATATTTGTTGTTAATATAATCTTATTTTTTAAAATAAATGTTCGTTCATAATAGTAATAATATTTTTTAAACAAAATATTAATTATTTCCGTTCAAAATTAATGGTAAAAATATTTTGAATCTTTTTTAAGTTGGATATTATCGAAAATATTATTAAAATTTTTGAAAATTTAGAAGGGTATTTTTTTATTATTATTTTATTATAGTTTCATGTATTCACTTTCAGACGGCCTACGATAGCGACTCAATTGGGCCCATTCAGACGGCCTACAATAGCGACTCAATTGGGCCCATTTCGGCCCAACTTTATCGATCTACAAAATCTCTTTGATTAGATTTTTTTTAATACCAATTGTGTCCTTTCACTATCCTTGGACCGCTAAATGTTTTATTCATTATTCATCGATTATAATAATGTTTTTAATTAATGGTAATAATATTTTTAAACTTTTGAAAAGTTATAGGTAAAAAAAAAAAAAAAAAAAAAAAAAAAAAAAAAAAAAAAAAAAAAGCTCAAATAANGGTGTCCCCTTTTCTTGGACCTTTGAATCCACAAGTACCAGCGGAGGACCACTTGTTCTCAGCTCCGGGTCTGGTCCTTTAGGCGAGGCTCTTGACTTTATAGGGTGGTTCCCGGTTCAGGAATTCGTGGTTGGTTGACTTGAGAAAGATCAGTTAAAGAATTCATCTTGAGTTTCGGCTTTCTCTTGTGAAATGGTCTCAAAAATAGGGGGAGGAGTCCGTGTTTCGTCTTGACTTGAATCGTATGTTTGTAACAACGGGGACAGAATTTTCTCAATTCCAATCGACTAGGCGTATTGTGTCGGTTCAAATGTTTTTTTTTATTAGTTTAACATTTTTTTTATTAAAATCATAAAAAAAAAAGTACGTACATACTTACAAAAATGATCTTTGCTGGCGAAATCTCCCGACCTTAATAATAACTTGGTGAGAGTCTAAAAAATCATTTTATAAACACGGAATGAATGTGGATAACGAAAGGTTCAATCACTAAAATTAGTTTGTATCTATTTGGTTCATAGATCTTAAAAATATGTAATAGATATCTAAATTGTTAATTTTGTGTCTATTTTGTCCGTGATTTTTAAGAATGTTAAGAAGTTTTTGAACTTTCAGTGACGTTGCAACGACGTACTCTTTAAAAATAAGGTAGCGAAATTCCTTGTCGAGTAAGTTTCGAACCGCACGAAAGTGTTATCTAGGCACTGTCTCGAAGAGAGGCTCGGTGAAATAGACATGTTTGTGAAGATGCCGACTACCTGCACCTGGACAGAAAGACCCTATGAAACTTCACTGTTCCCTAGGATTGGCTTTGGGCCTTTCCTGTGCAGGTTAGGTGGAAGGCGAAGAAGGCCTGAGCCATCAGTGAGATACCACTATGGAAGAGCTAGAACTCTAACCTTATGTCAGGCCCTACGGGCCAAGGGACAGTTTCAGGTAGACAGTTTCTATGGGGTGTAGGCTTCCCAAAAAGTAACAGAGATGTGCAAAGGTTTCCTCGGGCCAGACGGAGATTGGCCCTCTAGTGCAAAGGTAGAAGGGAACTTGACTACAAGACCCACTCGTCGAGCTGGGACGAAAGTCGGCCTTATTGATTCGACGGTGCCGAGTAGAAGGGTCGTAGTTCAACCGATAAAAATTACTTGAAAAATCATTGAAACATTTCAAATATAATATTAGCATCCAAAATGGAGAAAAATAACCTCTCCTATTAAAATTTATAAATAAAATGCTAAGTATCTGCTCTAACATAGATACTACAACTTAAATGTAGAAAACAGACGGTCGAGACTTAGATTTTATGGCCTCCTCAACTGGCATGATCATTTGTATATACGACTCTTGTCTTTACCTGTAAAAATGATATAGGTTGAGCATTTATAACTTCTCAGTAAGTAACACTATTATTTTTGATAAGAAAAAATGCAATCACATACAAGGTTCACAGTGGAATCTACTTTTCATCACTATTTCTAGGACATGATTCATGCATGAATTCACTATGTGGCCCCATATATGTACTTGTAGGCCTCACTATTGCCATTGCACAGTGGCTTGGGAGAGTCGATCGCGTACTAAGGATGGGCCCGTACACACATCTAGGCCTTTGCTTGGACTACGCTTATACTGGCATTGAGATGTTGTGGTTGTTATTTCAGTCTACCATTAGAGAGTTAAACATGTTTTGTCCTCATTCACATGCATCCTAGAAAAATTATCAAGAGATCGTCCAACATAAAATTGTTCTAAACAAAGCATTCTTAACCTTGAAATTCCTATTTTCATGATCACTCTCATTCGAATGTGATCACGATTCATTTATGTCTGTCCCCCTTAAACCAGATGTCACATATGTGTACGTGGAGTGGGAAATAAATGATAATAATATTTCCTAATATATTTTTGGAAGCTTTTTTTCGAATGAAAATCATAATAATAATTATCTCGAGTTTGATAGAAAATAATCACGAAAACAAATGGACTAAATTTTGATTATTTAGAAAGATAGAGATTAGACTCAAAATACACGAAGTTTTAACCTAATTTTTTACGAGTTAATAGACCGTTTTGAATTCAAAAACCATATTTTCGAAACTTGAACGATGGAACAAATGGACGTATAGGAGAAATTGATTCCACTCCATTAGATTTTTTTTTTTTTTTTTTTTTTTTGGTTATTTTAATACTTGTTTTTGCGTCGTTTTGAAGAACGTGTAGTGACGAGATAGATTCAAATTTATATTTGTTAATAGGTTTGGGTTTTTCAATTTTGTTGTGTGACTATGGTGCACCATGTCAGAACGTTAAAAAAAAAAAAAAAACGTTGTGATATCTCACATTGGTTGCAGAGGAGAACGAAACACCCTTTATAAAAGTGTGGACACGTTTCCTTACCAGACGCGTAATGGGGAAACCGATAAGAGAAAGCCCAAAAACCTTGATAGTATCTTGGATGAGCACCAATTCCCCTATATAACTCTGAAAGGGGAAAGTGCCCAACTTTGCTTCATATGACCCGATAACCCGACCTAGCTAGATTACCCAATCAAACCCTAAAAATTAAGAATATTTAACGTTTGTAACCGATGTTAGTGAAACTTGTAAATATTTGATATTTGAATGGGTTGCATGGCTGACGTTGTGGGGTTGGAGTATATAGGAGGGGATTGTCGAGGTACTATTCAGGAAAGGCGAGGTCGTTTGCTTGCATAGCGGATGCTCGATGTGTAGAAGACTTGAAGAAACCAACACATCCAGATGCGAAGAAAAGGAAGAAACATTCTGATTGCAAAGGAATCCATGTTTCTTCTCATCACTGTCGACGAGCTTCATCCACTCATTGTTCTATTCCCTTCTTTGCCTCATGATTCATTCATTGTTCATACCCCCTTTTCTCAATCAATCCCTTCTTGTAAATTGTTCTTTTTGATCATCTTTGTTGTTGATTTTGTTCGTTTGTGTATTGAAATGAGTTCGAAGTTTTGAGTTTAATATTTGATCCGTTGGTCGATTGATCTTTAATGTGTTCAAACGAGTTGAAATGCATGAATTTTAGTGTTTAATGTGTTGAAACGAGTTTGAATTGTGTGGATTTTAGAGTTCAACAACTAATCTCGATCTTTAATGTGTTCAAATGAGTTGAAATGTGTAAATTTTAGAGCTCAACTAGTGATATTCGATCTTTAAAATGGTTTTAATGTCTTATTCACTCCGTTATGTTTATATAATCATAATAATTTCGACAACCAAATTCAACGATTTGAGTTAATTAAGTACCTAATTACATATGCATTTTCCAGCGATATGACCGCATTACTTCTCGTTTTTCAATAGTAAAGACTTTCCTCACATACGAACACGAGTTCTTCCAACATATTTTGTCTTCACTCATATAGACGAAATGCTGCCTGTGAATGTTTGATTAATCCACCAGATCTAAATGGTGTGAAAGTTGTCTTATTTATAATCAAATAAATTACAAGTATATGGAAATAGTAATAAATGGAAATAACAATAGATGGAAAGATATCTATGATAATAAGACAAATATGAGATATTTGCCTTATAATAAAATATCAAATATAATATATATGGTAAACTATAATTTATTACTAAATATCTTAACACTGCCATACACTCATCATGATTATCGAACAATATCGATCCAAGTTCTTGCAGTAGAGTTTGCACACACACCGTTTGAGTTTAGGGTTTGATTCAAATAAATGAAATCTAATTTACCCCTTAAAATTAAAATTACATGAATTTATTATTAATTTTAAAATATACATTTTTAGTTACTCTATTTTCCGTATATATTAAACATTTTTTTCGTAGTTTGATTAATAAATATAAAGCAATTATTTAATTCCTAAAAGTCTCGGAGAGAGAATATTTTAAATAAAAATAAAATAAAAATAGTTATTTTAGTAATGATTTTAATTTTAATTTTCTACTTCCAACTAATTAGGTTAGGTTGATAGCGAGTAGATATTAGTAATAAAAAGTGAGTTGAAATAGAGAGCGGGAGAGTAGAACTTGCATTGGGCACCTGACCACTCGAGCGTGAGTAGAGATGTCTATAGGGTGGAACAAGGAAGCTTTTCTCGTGCCTGCTTCATACTCAATTTTCATTGAGTTCTCTGGTTTTTAAAAAATGTTTATTTAAAAAAAATTTAATCGATAATTCTATTTTTTTTAAGTATAGTTTCTATTGAAAAATTGAATACATCATAATAAATAAAAAAATATAACATAATGTTCAACATAATTTTGGCCTGAAATTTAGGCAGGCTCGAGGTGGAGATGAGAATAGAGAATATAATTTTCGTCACAACCTTGTTTAGTTAATGAAGAGAAATTTTTTATCATTTTTCGTTTAAATGGGAGTTCTCAACCTCATTTGATACGAGTCCCCACGGAACCTCGCTCCCGAGGTTAAAAAATAAAGTATAAATTTAGG